CGGCGGCTGCTCCCGAACCAGAAGGGTTTAAAGCGATCGCCACGTGGAAACATCATCCGTGCAAGAAAGGTCTCTTCTTCATCTGTCCGAGTTATTTAGCGTGTATGTGCCGGAGAGAAAAACACCCCTTTTTTGAAACCAGTAGGAAATGGATTAAATTCGGAGATACAACATAAAACCTTGTGGTTATTTGTAGAAAATTTTGCTTCATACACACAAAAGTGCCTGGGCTTTAGCTGCAGGGTTTTTTCCCAGACCAAATCTTGTTCCAGAGCCCCACGGAGGCTCCCTTGAAGAAATCTTTAGAATCTTCCCCTAGCACATGAAAACTTGTAGAAGTATTTTTAGTTACCTTTAATAAAGATGCCTATTAATGCTGTAATTTACATTGGCTGAAAGACATCAGAAAAATTGTTTGGCAGGTTTTGCTAAAGTTCTGTTCTCGCGTACTGATAGCTTGAAGCGTGCGGAGCAGAGCTGCCAGCAAAAGGTGACTTTTGGAAAGCTCAGCAGGCTCGCAGTGCATGGCTAACGTAAGTAGGAAGTTATATGGGGCATACGGTAGTTACTGGAAGGACCTTTCAGGGGCAGATAGGAGAGGGGACGCTGTTCTATCAACAAGTTGCGGAGGGAAATAATAGAGCCTTTCACATCTAAAATACCAGTTCAAATCCCTCCCTTCATAGAAAATGGGTTTGCAGTCCTGTTCCTGCCTGCGGTGTGGTTGCTGGTCACACAGTAGTAACTGCTCCTTCCCTGGCACTAACCGGATCTTTTGGAACAAACGTTACGGGATTCCAGGGGGTTCTGCATTCATGAATGCGTCCAGGAAACTCCTACGTGCTGCCAGTAGAGAAACTGGCAAAATCTAATACGCAGGAAAAGGGGATGGAGGAGAGAAGGCGGCAAATACGGCTCATCCTGTTCAGTCCCTGTTCCTTTACCAGCTGGACCACCTTGGCCACCAGCTGGCCAAGACATCATGGCCACTTGATCATGAAACACAGATTAATCAGCATGTGGATGGGTTACCGGGAGAGAGATTTGGCCAGGGGTGAACCTAAGGTTTTCCTAATTGTCCAAATGTGTACAGATTAGTAAAATTTAACTTTCTCTATAAAGCATTTTTCTTTCATTGGGCTGTGACTTTCGAAGAAAAAGAAGGCATTCTCTGCTTTTAATTCTGACTCATGCTTAGTTCATCACGATGTCACTCAACATTCAGGACACTGCAAAATTTATAAAATTACGAATATTTTAGTGTAAACACTCACCAATAGGTAGGATATTCAAGGGTGTACATTTTTGTAGCTCTCTGAAAAACAGGTCACTGGCATGAAATCCTGCTTACTTCTTTCATGAGAATTATAAAGCTTTGAAGAATGAAGTAGTTCTCCAGACTTAAAAGTTTGCATCACCTACATTAACACTTGCAGGATGTTTTCTTAATACAGATGGGTGTAGCAGAAGATGCTAAAAATAGGGAGGCCACATCCTGCACCTCAGCTGGTCACAGAAACCATTATAAGCTCTTATTTCTGTTCCAAAAATCCACACAGTACTCTCAGCGTAACTGCTCGAATACCACTAGGATGAATACTCAAACAAGTATGTATTTACATAATGGCTGTGGTGTTTTAACTTTTAGTAAATGCTTAGGACGTAAAACCCGTACGTTTGATTGGCTGCAAAACCAGCCACAAATAACAGGAATGGGAAATAGTTGTGAATACTTTTTTTAAAGACTTCCATGCTGGTCTGTCTAGACAAATTGACTAAAAGTATTTATTACCATCCCCTTCTGGAAGACAACACAAGCTTCAGAAGAGGATCATGTGAGTTTTAGTCAGCCCTCTAACGTCCTCTAAACAAGAAATAATGTGTTTAAATACGGTTTGTTATTTTTTACTATTTATACAAGCAATAGATTTTTGAAGTTGATCCTGATATCCCTGTCACTGCATTAGGAAGGTAAAAATTATAAGCTCGGCTGTAAAAGTATGCAGTTCAGTTTCATCATCATAACATGCGATCGTCTTCATTATCATAATAAAACTTGCGATGTAGTACCCTCGGTGGGGAGAACACTTTTCCAGCGCTTGCCTTCGCAGTTGCAAAGTAACTAACAGTTTCCTCCATCAAAGCAAGCTGTGCAGCTTTCAGGCACGTGTATGGGCTGTGCCTGGAAGGTAAGTGCAGGCAGGAATCTTCTCCACATTTCCACGTATGGGCCTGTTTGCTGGACAGCCTACATGGGCCTTTGGCATGCGGCGCTGCGGGGCTTTTGCTGCTGCAGACCCTGTAAGAAATTTAGAAGAGGGAACTGGTTTGGGTCAAGAAGCACATGGGTATTTTTTCTGTTGGAGGCTGAGGATTCATTGTTGGGTACAGGGCAAATACCTCTAACGGTAAGGCAGGTAAAAAAAAAAGGTATGTGAAAACAATGGTGTTAGGTTAGTTCAGGCGAAAAGTTTGGGACACAGACATCTGGAGCAATTAGATGGGATCTTCTCAGGCAATCTGGGACATCTGTGCAGGATGCCTCCATAATGGCAGTGCAGTAATGAGGATGTCATGGTAATTTTTTTTTATATATCTATATTACACATTTGCTCAGCTTGAGTTCTAGTGTGCTGTTGCCAAAGCCTGCGTGTCCTTTGGCTTTACGTTCCCAGCATTGTCATTCCTGGTACGGTTCTGCTTTCCATGACAGGATTTCCTGGAAGAGTATCAAAGCCGTCTTAGCTCTGATCATTTGTTTGGCAGCGAACTGGCTGCCAAAGCACCCACTCACTCCATCAGATTTCAGTCACCCGGCATGTAGTGTGTCACCAGCTTCTCCCGCTCTGTAACTGGGAGCTTGACAAATGCAGCTTTTTGAAAGAGTAAAAGACATCACCATGCTATGAGCAAACAATATCGGAGCAGGAAAATCGAATAAACCAGAGGGTGGTTCCAGCTACCGAATTTATTCCCATTTCCTAGTCTTGACCAAGCAGTGACCAAGCATTTACCTTGTGACATTTTTTTGCCACCGCAAATTATCATTTTGAACTCACTTTGTAAATATAAGCTCACCTTATTAAATGACAGACAAACCCAAGAAATTTAAGTTGAAAATGCTCCTTATTTGGGAAAGTCACAAAAATAATCTTGATTCTTTTCTGGAGCCATGAAGACTTTTTGTGTGTGTCCCCGAGCATCCTTAATTCAACCTCTTTAGCCTGAAGCTAAGGATATTTCCGTGCAGGATTCATCTGGGACAGTCAGGATTCCTCTGTTTTGGCACAACTGCTTCCTTTTATTTCCTGTGTGTCTCAGCGTGGTATCTTGAACTGTGCTGGGGATCAATGCTGCAAGCAGGCATATGTAGCTTCTCCTCACTGCAACATTCAATCTCAAAAGCCGAAGGGAGAGGGAGGGGGGCAAAACCCCAAGCTCATGTGTGCAACATAAAGCAGAAGAACCAGATTCTGCTGAAGACATGGCTTGTTTGTTTTCTTGACACCGTTTTCTAAAATCTCCACCTCAAAGCCTAGGTTTGTGAAATGAAGTTATGCAGAAAGCAGGTGATTCCATCAGGTCTACACGAGGCACAGGTGTGTAGGTGTCACTTGAGGAGCATAGCTTGTGCAGGTGATGCTGGTCATCCACCTGGGAGGTGTCTGTAAGACACTCAGTGCATCGGGTCTGGGACATCATTCTGTGCTGCCTCAGGGACTAGTGATCAAGATTTCTCCAAAATAGAGGCCCTTCCCAGTGGTCCTGTGGAAAGTCAGGGACAGCTGACAGGGTGAGGGTTTTTCTTGAGGTGTTGATGACGATGCACACTGTAAAAAGGCCCATCAGCTTTGGTTCCTGCTCTCTGCTGGTCCCTACTCCACTGCTCAGCCACAATCACTCTCCCCCTAGTTACCATCCGCGGGCAAAGGCTGCTGAGGTGCACACAGGTTGCCTAGCAAAATCGAAATGCAGCAAGTGAAATAAGGACAGGAGCTATTTGAAGACAATTGGTGCTGATAGCCTACTAAAATGGGCCACAAGCCGAGAACAAACAGAAAGGCTGGTTAAAAAGGAATGGTTAGAGTGTAGACAGAGACTGGATAATACTTTAGGTGGGAGCTGCTGCCTGTTTAGGAGAGTGACAAAGGGCTCCCTTAGTGAGCACGCTGCTTTTATGCTACTGCAGTAGTAACACGTGCATTGGAGTGCCCCAGTGAAGCATTGCACAGTCGAATTGAAAAGGAAACCAGACTCATGAGAGGTTTTCATTAACAGTTTTGCTGCTAACCAAACCAGCCTTGGTAGGACACAGAAGTCAGTTTCGGAAACTTTTAACCCTTTGCTCTATTGCTGTTGCATTATTTTTAAAGCATGATGCTATGCTCATACACAAAATAATGTCTAGCTTATAATGATTTTTGTTCATATATACAAACCCCAGTAAAAAAAGTTGAACACAATATACACACTGGGAAATATAATCCTGGAATATGTGTCAATAACATGATTGTTCTGTAAAATAATCCTGCCCACGTTTCCCTTCAGAGATCTCTTCCTCTTTATGCGAGTTGTGTCCGCATTGGCGACGCTGGCTGCACGTGCCTGAGTCTCATTCTCTTCACAGCGGTCTGAGAAAGCCGTCAGGTCGATGTCCACATCCGTGTCGTGAAAGCAGCCGTCGAAAGCCATTGCTTGCACTGCATCAATACTATACATTCCTGAAGCCTGGCAACAAAGAACAGTTATTCTGCATCTAGCAGGAGCCATTTTAGCAAATTATAAACAAATAAAACAGAAAATAAAGAAAGCTTTCTCTTCAGTGTTGTGCCCTCTGTGGAGAGCACATGGAGAACAGGGCTACCTCACAGTACTGCTATCTGTGGGGCCTGCCCCCTTGGGCAGGACATGAGCAAGGAAAGGGATACGTGTGATAAAACACACTTTGACTGATTGTTACCAGCTTCTGGCTGGCTATACCCCAGCTTCTGAAACAGAAAAAGCAAACTCTGCCTCTCCTGTAGCTCTGCGTTGCTGGAGTTGTGGGAAATGACTTCAAACATTTCCATGAGTAGTTTTTTGATGGGATTATCAAATCACGTGAGCAACATATGCACTGTTATTGGGGTTTTCTCCTTGTGATATTCTGACGAGTTTACATGGGGGGATATTCTTGAAGCAAAGGTTTTGAGTGAGTGCTTCATAGAAAGCAAATGTTTAACTTGTGAATGTTTCTGCTTCAGGCACACTTTTCTAAAAATGACCTTGTCATTCGTCTGGTCTTGGGACAAAAAGGCATCATTAAACTCATCTTCCTAATTGAAAAGGGTGAAGCAGGAGAAGGAGAAATAGACTCTGCTTCACAGGAAACATGAGGGAACATTACTTGAGTGCATTCTGGGGTGTATTTCAGAGAGAGGAAAAATAACTTGATCAATAGGTATTTGGGAACAGAATGAAGGTTACCTTCCTCTGGGAGGGGAAAAATCAGAAGACGTGCTCCCTAACCTCTGCCACAAGAAAAGGAAGGGAGAGAAAGCACAGACCTTCTCAAGATCTCAGAAAGGATGATACATTTCCTCCCCTCAGCCACGTAAAGAAAAGTGAGACAGAGTGGAGTCACAGAGATTGTTACTCTACTGTTATCACAGTGGTGTATCAGGATTACTCTGTGGCTTCTGTGATGCTTTCTGAGGGCAACAAAACACAGAGAATTGTACCTTGCCCCTTTTTTTGAGTTGCTTTCTCTCTTCAATTGTGGTGAGATAGTTCACTGCTGCATATTCGATGACAGACAGGAAGACAAAAAGGAAGCTGATCCATAAATACACATCCACAGCCTTTATGTAAGACACTTGAGGCATTGAGGCACTTACTCCTGTCATGATGGTTGACATTGTCAGCACTGTAGTTATACCTGCCAAAGAAAAAGGGGAGGTTATCAGAATACTGGCCAGCTGGTTCTGTTTAGCTCACCACTGTTGCTTGGACAGCACAGCTTTGTGAGGGCATATGATTGACACTGCCTTTAACTTCATTACACAGGCTCTGAGAAGTGGAGTGAACCATGAAGGACCTATCATATACAATACTGAAACCAGTAAATCATCTCTCTGCTCAGTGCGTGCAGTTAGAGCTGTGGCACACCAGGTTCGAACAGCGGGGACACAACACTGGTGATTCAGCAGCATAAGCAACACATTTCTAGGACAGCTTTAGGCACTGCTATAGAGAAGTGAAAGCAGGTTTGTGGCCTTCCCTCACTTGCCAGAGCCAGGGTCTCCACTACACACTTTCTTGTCCCGGAGAATCACTAAAGAATCACCAATTTCCCTCCCAACCCCTTCTCAAATTGTACTTCTTGAGAACATGTATCAGCTTGTATGTCTCTGTCATAACTCTACAGCTCTTTAAAAACACTCTAGCATAAAAATGCTATATCCATTGAAACTAAGAAATACTTATTTACTTCAGTGTGTCCAGAATGTCACCCTCGTCCTTTCAATCTCTCCTCTTACGTGCAGGTATTCATTTCATTTTGTTTTGCTCAGTCTCAGAAAAAACAAAACAAAACAAAACAAAACAAAACAAAACAAAACAAAACAAAACAAAACAAAACAAAACAAAACAAAACAAAACACCAACACCCAACCCAGGCCCTGCTTTTAAAGAAATTAATGTAGCATTGGGAGTGAAGACATTTCAATAACACCTGTGAGACAGCACTGGCTGATAGCATGGCCTTTCGGCTGTGTCTCAGTATAGCCTTTCTCCAGTTATATGATAGTTCAAGTCCACTGGAACATACAAGAGTTTTCCCTCTCCTTCTCTGCAAGTTCCTTAGGTTGAAGGATGGAGTTTGAAATACACCATATAAGAGGAAATAAATTTATTTAAAATACGTCTACCCTAGGCTAGGGAGCTAAGCTTTTTAAACTTTGTTGTTAACATTGCCTATAAATTATGTATGCTTATGCTAATGAAATATGCGTTATTCATAGAACTCCTGATGCATAACCTTCTGCAGAAATCCTATATAAATTAAAGAACATGATCAGCAAAACCATCTTGACAACATTACAAATGACCTACTGAGAATGAAAACTTTATTTTCAAAGATGAAATTAAATTTCTTATAAATAAAAGGAATTGGTAGATGCATTAATAAAAGTAGGTAGGAGGTACAATAACTTGTTTTAGACTAACAAACAGATTTATATCTCATGTATTAATACCTTTAGACTGTGCCAATAGAAAGGGACCTGAGGTAGCTACAGTCCTATTTTTTTCTAGGTTGATATAGCTGTAGATAAAAATTGAGGGCTCCCTCAGTACATGCAAGTTTGTTTCTTAAACAAAGACCTCAAATTTTCACTTGTCTAAGAAATATGGCAACATACATTTGGCTTCTGGGACTAGCATCAGTGAGAAGAAAGAACAGGAACTTCTTTACTAATTTTGAAACTGACAGTTGCAGGACTCAGATGCATTATGGTTACATTGGATATCTTAACAAATTTCCATCAGATCTTCACAGAAATGCTAATCTTTGAAAAAATGTACTCATTCCAAGGCCATCAGCATTAAATTCCCAACAAAGGCAGTCTTGAAGTGGTATCAACTGATTCATCACTGAGAAAATAATGTTATAAAAACCCCACTGTAATTAGTCTTTTTCTCCTGCACTGTGGCATTCAGAACAAAAACTGTGAGAGCAAAAAGATGCCCAGCTTACTCTTTGGCTTCCACAGAAGCCTGTGTGCCTTGCACAGTTAAGGCACCAAAGCAAACATTTTCAAGGTGCCTAACAAAGAAAGGCTTTGCTACATAGGACAAGTCAGGAAACTCCTTCCAAGTTGGTAGGAAGATATCAAATGTTTCTAGAGAGAAAGCAGAGCTGCAAAGCTTTTAAATAGATTGTGCTATGCCTATTAAGTATCTCTCATGAACCATGGATTTGGGGACGGATCTGACTCCCTGTTACTACCTGTTACTTTGCTGGGAAGAGAGGAGGAAAAAAACAAGAAAGTCTTTGCAAAAAAAAAAAAAAAAAAAAAGGAATAAAGTAAAATTCTGCACAGGGAAATCTGCAGAATCATCCCTTTTTCCTTCTATAGTGTGTGAGCTGTTTTCTATTATAGCAAAGCCAGTCTGAACAAATATCTCATTTCCAAATGTAGAGACTGACTAAAGGAATTTGTGGTAGGGACAACAGTGGCAATAATAGTGTTTTTCAGGCAATTACCTGATATACTTTCTCATGTCCTGTGTAAATAGGAAGCTAAGGTAACTTCAAAACCTCTCCCCTATCCATTCTATACTTCCCAAAAGAATACACATTAAAGGTTTACCTAGTGATACCCTGGCAGGAACGGCTCTTCTGTCAATCCAAAATGAAACCCAAGACAGCATCACCATCAGCATGGCTGGGAAATAGGATTGTAGCACAAAAAAGAAAATATGTCTCCGGAGCGCGAAGTTTATAAAAAGTCGATTGTACCAACCTATTGAAAAAAAGAGAGAGGAACAGGTTGGGGGAGAAGAGAGCCGTGGTATTTGTGAGCTCTGTTCACTGGCCTCCTCCTTCCAGTAGGAATGCTGTATCCACATCAGTAATAGTAAATGCCTAAGACATATTGCCACCACCTTGGTTTTATATAGTGCTTTACAAACTGTCCATCATACCTCATTAAAATACTGCTGCCTTGGTAGTGAGGCATCACGACTGCATAAATAAAATACTATATTATAATTGAGGTTAGGAAATTGCAAAAAAGTAAATAGACTTCAAATGCAACTGCCGGGAAAATACAGACAGAATATAATTGTCCAGTCCAGCTAGGACAGTGAAGCCAACACCCTGCCTCCCCCAAAAAGTAGCCTCCCTTCCCTCACGCTGCAAACCCTCAGCAACAAGCAGCGCTTCTTTCCCTGCGGTCAGGCCGGTTTGCCTGCCCAGCGCTGACTTCAGGGGAAAGGGTGCCATCTAGTGAGTTTTGGGGCATAGGCTGTCTGTGCAGCGAAGCACGTCTCCCTCCTGCCATGGGAGGGAAATCAGTTTATAGCGAGGTGAAAAGAAGACAGAAGTGGCTGGCTGCGCAGCGTCTGCCTGTGCTGTACAAATACAGACATCAATGAGCCTGCGTGGGAGCAGCCATGCCATCACAAAGAGTGAGTTTATAAAAAATAATATCTCAACAATAACCTCATCTAATATTAAATAAACACTCTCTATGTGGAGAAGGTTTTTAGTTTTAAAAATTATTGTCTCAAAAATGGATTTAAATTGTTGCTCCTTTGGAGGCCAGGGAACTCCGAAAGCCTAAATGCTACGCATGTGTAGTTCACTGAGATGCACAGGAAAGGATATGCAGAACCTAAAACGCGTAAAGCTGCTTTGTGAGCAGCATTTTTGTCCATTTTTTTGCCCAAGACTCCTCAGGGGGAGATGGCTCCCGTTAGAGTTGTGCTGATTGCTCCCCACTATTACTCACTTTCGGGGGGGCAGGGTCTGTGTGTAATCAATTTCTTCCAACAAGAAGCAAAATAAAAGAACACGAGAAAGTGGAACCTCCTGACTGCAACAAAAGCCAAAGAAAAGTGTATGTCTACAAAGGGCAGTGTTCTAATTAATAGATATGGTACATGCATTATTTAGGTACCATGCATTGGTACCATGCATTGGTGTGCAGTGGTCCCTGCAACTTAAAAAAATACCCCGCTGTATAAGCTCGTCATCAAAACATCTGCAATGTCAGTGTTAAGCAGTTACACTTTGCAAAGTCAAAGGTGCTGTGAAGGTGCTGCAAAGGCCTGGGTACAGGGGTGGTATGAGGTTGCACTTCTGTGCACAAGGCCCTATTTGCTTGCATAAGTGTTTTTTGATGAGAATAGCAAGGCAGAAAGAAGCCAGCTGAGTTCCTGGAACCCAGTTTCAACACACATTGATAGCAGTTTGGTGGAAAACATGCCAGTCTCCTTGCAACAGGGACAAATTTGACGTAGCTCTCAGCAAGGCACAGTTATCATAGTAAAGTATCACTCGCTCTCTTCTCACGTGACAGTGGCCCTTGAAAGCTGGAGCTCTGTTCTTAGCTCATACACGAGCAAGAGATAAGGATGAAGAACCTGATCAAGCTGTGAATTCCTCACTGCTTAGGCTGCATCATAATTTAAACTGGAATTTCTGCACTGAATCTCAGCCACTGCAAACTTGGATGAATGGCTCTTTTTTAAATGCAAAAAGAACTTATCCTGTAAATAAAAGACAGTAAATAAATGTATTTGCAGCTTTCTTTTATGTTTTAAAGGCGTTTTTCCAAAGTGTTATGCATTTCATCATATTATATGGAATAATTTCTATTTTATTAATCTGCCTTGATAAAAAGGGCAATATCCACACTGAAATGAATTGACTCAGACTGGAAAGTACAGTAGCAAGCATGCTGTTTTATCTGGTTAAAAATGTATGGTTAGACTACTCACATAAAGAAGTATTTCAAAATTTATAACTGCATGTACAAATAAAGAAAATAAGAAAATAAAATCCACCTTGCATGAAATCAAGACTATAACAATCTCCTAAAGCCTTGTGCAGTTTGCCAGAGAGTATAGTTCAAGATCTATAGGGAGAATTAAAAACCTGTCTGGGGCAGGTATCTGTATTTAAACAATGTAGCACTGACATAAAGGGATTTTTTTCTGCAACTTTATGTATAAACGTGGAACATTAAGCAAACCATGAATTAGACCTCAATAGGTTATAAATGCTGTCATGTGGAAGTCTTATAGTTAGTAGAATTTCAATGACATTTTACAGCTCCAAAAATTAGGAGATTTTGGACAGTAAAACACACTGGGGTTCCTCTTAATTGCTTTCTAGTACTTGACCGTTTAGGGTTTGCATTTTCAAGCTTTTCTATATAACCAGGACCCAAAAATTCCTGTAAACCCAATATTCTAGTGGCTTTCAGAGAAGCACCATGATTTTACAAGAGTTCACAACAGCATATATTCGGTTGTTGTGCATTTTTTGAGGTTCTTTTTGTCAGATGTTAAGTTACAAGTAGTATTATGGCCTCTTCTTCTAATATCAAGGAAGTATTACATTGGTAATATGAAGAGAACTGAGGACCTAGGCCAACAGACCAGTGTGATTGACAGACCTCATTTTAACTGAGATCTCTCAGCAGTAACAGTCATTTATTAGCAACAAATTTAAATGTGAAAGACATTCTGCATGATTGTGTCCTGTGCTTCTCTTTTTTAATGTCAGGGGCTTACTGTACCAGTACTGCTGTAAAAAGCAAGTCCACTGGAAGCACTGAATTCTTCGATGAAAAACTGGGAGAGGGAGATGTGCTCATCTGTGCTCAGGGACTTGTTTCCATGTTTCCAGTATAACATCAGATCATCTTCATTGTATGCATCTATGAGAAAGTAAAAACTAAATCACCTCTTCTGCTGGAATAATGCTTCTGTTTTCTTTTCTTAGGGATAGGAGACCACTCAAACAATTTGGGAAAACCCCAAAGAAACATTTTTTTTCACATCAATTTGCCAGTTAGACAACATGGAAAAATTTGCAAAGACTGTATTCCATCGTGTTCCAAGTGGAGCCCGGTGCTGTGCGCTGCCAGCAGCTTACCTGACAGATGGGGGACATGGGCACGCTCAGGGTCACAAGGCATATGGGATCGGAGCTCTGGAGCTGGCACACTGAGCTGGCTGCCTGAACACTGGGGATCTGTTCTCTTTTCCAAGACTAAACAACAAACCAGCATCCCAGTTTTACTCATAATCCAAATAAGAATAAATTTTGAGATATCAAAAGGCTCTGCAAAACAGAATTACCTTTTGTTTCCAGCTCTACAGCTTACTACAGACAACTGAGTCAGGGGTGAGAGAGCAGACATTTCACAGTAACACAAGCACTCATTTTCATTTTTCCATGAGGTCAAATATTGACATCTTATTTTACTTTTAACTTGCACTTTTTTTTTCTCAGAAAAAAACCATTATTTTTGACAGAGGAAACATTTTTAGATTTAGGCCTTGGAATATCAACCCAGTCGAAACAAAGCACGGTGCATAATGGTTTTTCTGTCTTCCCAAAGCTCACTGAGTTCTGGAAAGATCCCAAACTGGCCATGGTTTAATATGTACAGATTGAAGTGTTCAGGTCACACAGCAAAATAAGTGAAAACAGTGTTAAGAACAAGACAGAGTGCTGGTAAGAATGCACATATGAAGAACAGGTATGAATTAAAACTTACAGCTTTCCAGTTCTAAAGAACAGTTCTGAGTGTCCAGAGGAAACCTACTGAAATCCATGAAACACATAGCAGAAACTGTTATTCTGCAGAAAGGAACAGAAAAACAGAAATTAAATGAAAAATTTCATACTTTCTTAGGGTTGTGCTGATATCTTCATGAGATCTCCACTCAATCGACTGTTTAGAATCCCAATGAGTCTTTCTACTTTTTTTAGACGCTTCCAAAATTGCTTCAAGATAGTGAGATAAAACTAAATCAGTGAGAGAACTATGGTTTTTAAACATAAATAGTCTTTCTTATTAAGTACATTACCTTCAATTTTTAAACCCTTTATTGGCCTGATCTTTCATGAGCCTTTCACACCTTTTGCTTTGAAGGGTTACGCTTATGAAGATTAACAAGGAGAGTTCACATTTCTTGACTGGATTTCTCATAGGCTAAAGTAGATAATATTACAGATTAGAGCAAATGTTATTTCAGCTGCTATTTTCCCAGCTAGAATGGTTATAGTATTTAATTGCATAAAAAGATAAGCTGCAATTTCTGGAAGCCTACTCTCCCATTCAACACCATGGAAATCCCTTATACTCTAAAAAGGTTAAGGAAATCTACACAAAGACATTATTTTGCATTCCACAGCTTTTCCACAAATGTTTAGAAGGTAAAAGTGCCTTGATATTTTAACCAATAAACAAAAAAAAGGCCAGAGGCAGCAATTTAAATATGGTAAATATTGCCAAATTTCCCTTCCTTGTCACAGCTTGTCATTTGATGTTTTAGTTTGATTTTACAGTTTTCCCCAAACTGAATCCTACAGGGTTTTAAGTGATAAGGGATATACTGGGTATATAAGTAAGCTTTGAAAACTTGTGATTGGTAATCACACTGTGGCTCAATTTTTACAAATCTGAGATTTTACTGGCTTAAAATGAGATTGTAAGAGTGGTACATCTTTAAAATCATGCATAGGACTTCCAACTATGGATGTTGTTTCTGTCTTTTAGCTATTGACTGAAGGATCAGAGGAACAACAAGAAAATGTTGATTGAAAAAAAAAAAAGACAGACTATTTTAGCAACAAATCTGGATTTTTCTTCTGCTTTGCTTCAATAAAATCCTGGATGCTAGGCACTGAAGAAAAACTGTGGAATATGCAGATTTCTTGCACATAAGTATTTGGAATATAATCTACCCACTGCACATAAAACTGGCAATACAAAAAGGGTGTTTTAATGAGCATCTGATTCTTTAGGAACATACACATTAACACCACTCAGGCTAGAAACACATTGTTTCACTTTAATTGTTTTAAAACCTTGGTTCACCAGCCTTTAGGTCACCCCTTTCCCTGCCTCAGTTTGATAAGAACTGATAGAGAAGGAAAGGAAGAGGACAGGGCACTTGTCCTTCCTGCTTATGTCCAGGAAGAAATCCACAGGTCTGGCAGGAACCCTGGGGCTTTGCTATTCACTGGCACCTGAAGGTGAAGCTGGCTGCAAGCTCACCTGTCAGAGCAAGGAGGAATCACCCAGTACACATCATCTGGTAATGCAGGGTTAGGGTAAGATAACTGTGGGAGCAGAGAGGATGAAGGCAAGGAAGAAAAGTAGAGCACCAGCTTGCAAATGTGATGCAGGACACAGGGCAAGGGCTCCCATCACAGAAGGGATTCCGAGCAATGAGCAAACGTAGCAAACTGATTCATACTGTGTCTCTCCCTCAGCTCTACGTCCTCCTTTTCCTTCCCTCCCATCTCACTTTTTCCTTTCTTTCCATTTCTGTCCTTCCCATCACATGCTCCCTTTGGTTTGTAACTATTTGTGCACAATTTCTTGCCGTTAATCTTGATGACACTTTACCTCTCCAGCAAGCTGACAGAACGTGTTTGCCCATCTTATGTCTCTTCACCACTCTTCCTTCCCCCAGCTGAAAGTATGTCATACCCCTCACAAGGAGAGCCACTGCTGTAAGCCTCAGTGTTGCAGTGTAGTTCCTCTGATCCCTCTCTCTCTCTCATGAAGCATGGAAATGAATATACCAATAAAATGCATACTTCACCTCATTCTTTCTTACTGGTCAGTGTGATTCTTGAACATACACTATTTTAAAGTGGTGTACAGCTGTTGTTGTGACGGTTTCTGCATGTCTTCATGAGAAGGTAGATAAATTCATTACTTGTTGGAACAATTGTTACATAGCCAAAATTTCAAGTGCTTGCATAAATCTTCAAACTATCCAGATTAGATGAAATATCACCTCTGTGCACAGGCCTAATTAGTAACAAACTGGAGGACTGTGATTTCTGCAATGCACAGGCCTCAGGGCCTTTACCCTGGGGGGAAAATTCCTCCACTAAAACGATTTCTGCCACATCATCCAAATCTGCTTCATAAAGAAAAGCAATAATATGTAGATAGAAGGGAGACACATTTAATGACCTTGCTGTTCCAGTCCTGCAATTGCTGTTTCACTTTCCAGTTCCTCGTAGTCACACAACATGCCTGTCTAACATGGCTGGTATCAGCATCAGTAATCTGGTCTCCGTGCCTATCTGGAGCCCCGATTAATATCAGTGGCATGTTTATAGGTATCGCAGGGTGAAAATAGCTGAGACAGACAGTTTTAAAAGATTCAGGGGCAAAAAACCCACATTTGTTCTTTGCTAATAATTTTAGGCTTTACTGTACTCAATAGTAAAACTACTGTGATATTACTAAAACTACTGGCAATGAATTAACACTTGATAAACTTCAGCATTATTTACACACACGAAAAAACTGCCATTAACCTGTGACAGGAAACAATATGTGAATGACAGAAAAATATGTTATTTATATGTTATCAATCCTAAATTTATTTTCCCACTGGTACACTGGTCACCAGTTCCCATTATCTGAAGCCAGGGGATTAATGCCAGTCCAGTATCCGAATCTTAACTGCAAGTATTTCCAGTAATTTCTCACTGTACAGACTGTTGGTCAACAATTGCAGTCATGTATTTTCTTATAAAAGGGTATTGTTCTTACCGTAGACTGAAGAGTACATTGCCATCCGGGTACACTCGGAGCATGACGTTTTCCACAGTTGTATCATGGATGAAAGATCTTTTGGAGTGTACAAAAAATACATCAGGTACCCAGATCTTTTTTATCAGTCTTCCATCAAAAGTCATACTTTTGTTTTTGTTACTATGAAATGAAAGTCTCTCATCCTTCCAGTAATGTCTGAGATATAAAGTCATTGTGAAGTCCTTTGTTTAATTAAAAATAAAAGAAGACAATGCTTGTTTTATTCATATACAATAGAAAACAATACAAAGTAATCAACTCATGCAAAGAATCAGTTTCTTCTCTGGACATCATGTGGAGGATCCTCAATGAGAGGAATCAAACACCACTCAATGAGTTTAAGTATAGATTAGAACTACCTCTGAGACACTGACTGTTTGCCTTGTCACTGGTGTCTGAGTCTGAGGTTCATACTTCATTTATACGTCGATAAAACTTTTACAGATTTCAGTGGTCTGCTGGATTGGGCCATCAATGAAGTGACAAAGAAACTTTAAAACCGACCAAAGGCAAATGGAAAGGCATTTCCTTTGGAAATCTTCACAAGTTTTTCCCAGAATGGACTGTGGTTCCTTTAAAAAGGGATTAATTTGAGTTCTTCATGAGCACTAGGTCAATTTGTAAAATCCATTAATCTGTACATTTGGTACAAATATTGTACAGGGGTCTTAGATTAGTACGTTTATGAATGAAATGCATCATAAAGGAAAAATGCAATGAATTTCATAAGAGTAAACAATTAAATTTTACAATAATTACAATTTTTTTAAATATGAAAGATTGTTACAAATATTTTATCATCCTATTTAGAGAAATAACATGACTGCAAATATACATCTGGAAAGAGATGGAGAGGATGTTGCAAACCCAGTCTGAGCTTCTGCACAGCCTGACTGCTCTGTGCTCACCTATATAACTTTTGCATTATTAGTCAGACATCACTTATCTCAGTAGAGCAATTACTTCTGATAAGAATACTGGGAAGACACTTAGGTGATCTTATGCCCCTGTAATATGATTTTATGATTGGGGTAGGTTTGCAAAGGAATGCAAGGGTTCATACTGACAGATCCCATTGCAAATTCAACACCTACGACAAGAGCTACACTCACTGTGAAAAGATATTGTAAATGAGATCTCTTTGCACAGTTAATGTGCCCTGCTATTCTAGGACAGAGCAACTCGGCACTAATGTCTCGATGGCATTATTAGTTACAATTTTGGCTAAGGAATGAACAGCCTGCATTCCAGTGCTACAGGTCCTTGATTGCAGTGAGGGTGTCTCTTTCCTAGGACCATTCCCAGAACTGATTTTTCTATTTCCATTTCTTATGGCCACAGCTCCAACCATGCCAGAAATGATGGGAATATTCAGATCTGCATCAGCAAAGGAAGCAAAGGACATGAAGCCTCAGCATCTAATGTGCAGAGCACTAAGAGCTCATGTGGAAGCCCATGGGGCTTGCTGAAAGATTGGCATGTTCAAATCAGAGCACTATCCAGTCTGATCTGTTCCTCTTGCCCAGGGAGAAATTCAACATGTGCTCTTATATAACACTTACTAGTTTAAATGGGAATGACTGGCATGCTTCAAGGCAAAGTTGTGCTCTTTAAGGGTTTGCTTTCTTTAACTGTATTATTCTATACCATCCAGCTGGATGTTTCTGAGACCCTGAATTTTGGCTGAAACTCTTTATGCCAGTGCTACTAACCAACTTACCATGTCCACTTCAGATATGCTGTCAATGCTTTCTACCTGCACATCAATGCCCACAGGTATTGGCGACCCTTCAATGTAACAGAATGAAAGAGTGATGAGGAGCGTAAATCCATATTTTTAAAGGGAAGATTGTGTATTAGCAACATACAGAGACTACCCCATCCCAGCAGTTACTACGGTCTGTCCACCTTAGTACACTGAATGAGAAAGTCCATGGCAACAAAGTAAAACCAAATGCTAAACTGTTGTAAAAGTAAGTACAAAATCTTCAGTGATCTTTTTGCAGCCAGACTAGTTGTTATTGGTGTCGCAATTTGAACAGCAGTGACAGCTTCCTTGCAATGCCAAAGCTAATGAACTGCTTGGAGTGCTACTTAGAACTGTCACAGGGAAAAGCTGAGTAAATATATCAAATACATTAAAGACTGCAACACTTACTTACCAGTTCCAATGCTTATTCCCACACTCATAAACAAAATATCTATTACGCCTCCTAATTATCTTTACTTACTTAACTATTTAAAGTTTGGCGTAGATATTTGTGAAAAAGGATTGCTTGCTCACTACCTCATAAGGGAAAAGCTATACACATACTAAGCATGTTCTGTGATGGAGTGTTGTGTATTACTGAGTACCTAGTTTGTTATCAAGTACAATACATGCCAGACTACACTAGGTGACTTTATTTTATATACTACCCCACTATTTCATGCCACTGAAAAAGGCTGCGAGCTTGTAACACAACGGGATCGGAACGAACAAATTATAAAACCATATTTGCATTTTTACAATAAAGTGACTAAAAATCAATTTAAAATTACAGCACAATATAAAATTATTCCCATTCTCATCAGTGTACAATATCTAGAATGAAGGATGTAGTTCTGTATGGGTTACGTACCTGTGTAATTTTCAGCGAGTAAGTCATTCCACTAAAGCAATTGACTAATCACTTCCTTACGAAGTAGGGAGAGGAGAGAGATGTGTGCATATATGTGCATACACCCCCCTCCCCCGAAGAATATTCTGCATTTGGCATGAAATTGATAGTAATGATTGTACATGGGATTCCAAATACGTTTGTTAAAAACGGTCAGTTAAAATATTTCTAAAGTACTAATTTAAAATAACCTGGTACAAAACATGAGTATGAGGAAGCCTGAACAGCAGGAGATAGCAACAGCTTTTTTAATTTGTCTTTTTCTTTTCTTTTCCTTTTATCAGTGTCATACCAAAATAGTCCAGAAATATCACTCTCCTGATAACCAGCCACAATACTGTGTCTCTTTTTGGAATTATCCTTAAAATAGCAGCCCTCGAGGATTACACAGCTGCCTCCAGTTCTTACCAGTTAGAGATCTTGAACTATTTTTGAGGTATTTTAAAATCTGGCTCTGTAATCTCTTGATTTGACTTGTATTTTTTAATGGAGGGTTTGACCCTGCGCAGAACAGATGAAGATGCATTGTGTATGGGAAAGCAAGGTGAAATGTGTTCAGAGTTAGCAGGGCACACAGGAGCATGTTTCAGCACTAACAAGAGCTGTGCTGTCTCACTTGGAAATCACGTCTCCCTCTGAGAGGAATGCATCGCTTAGTCTGTTGGCCAAAGCTCAAAACAAAATTCAGAGCTCCAGACAGCAAAGTTCAGTCAATTAATTTATTAGTAAAACACTAGACAGCACTTGGTAAAATGCTGCTGCTTTTGGAGAATAGAGACAGCAGGAGACATCTGCCCTAGAGGCTGACGCACAAGAGTATTGATGTATATATCCAGCCAGGCTTCTTCACACAAACCAATAAAAATTTTTATGCCTCTCCTAAACCAGTTTTGACCACTGCTTGTCTTTGTTTTGACCACACCACACAAATAGTTTACTTATGCTAAATACCAACTTGTACCAAGTACTGGTACAAAAATGCCTGGTTGTAATCAGAGTGGAGTCATCTTCTCAGTATTCCACTGAAATGTAAACTACCTTGTAAACTAAAGACAGGTTTAGCCTAAGCAGGAGTCATTGTGGGATTTATACATGATGTGAACATTGTTCACAAATGGCATTCACACATCATTTAAATGCAAACACTGCAGAAAGATGAGGTGTTGTCTATCGAGCTCCTCATTTGCATGGTGAAACAGGCCAAGCCTACATTGCAGAGCTGACACCTGCGCTAGCTGTACACAAGGCAGGGTGGCTCAGGGAGCAGGCTGGGTGTAGAAGCACGGCATGCACAGAGCATGATCAGTACAAAAGCTGACTAACATGTGAACAGCATTGAAGATAGAAATCTGGCCTCAGCCCTTGGCTCCCTTTAAAGTCAATGCAGTGCAACAGGCACATTCTAGGTTGGGGTGAGATGGCTTGTGATTTGGAAATGCCTGTTGGTTACCAGGGTTGCTTAGAGTGACTGCAAATAGGCAGATGAACTGTCTATTATCTAACCTTACCCACCACGAAGCTTCAGCTTCTTGATACTGTAGGTGTGTCCAAACTCTTACCCTGGGACTATAGCAGAGGCGCATTGTAGGATAGACTGAAAGTGCTCATATCTGGGTGTACATTTGATCTTAACTGCTATCGCTAAAACTTTGGTGGATGATTTGCTTGACTAGCATGTTAAAAACAGGGGGTTTAGTCCTATTTATGTAGAATTATGTGGGTGGAAGGGGAGGAGAGGGGAGCAGCTCTCTACATAAAAGAATGGCTTTACCAGTTTCTGAGTCAAGGACAAATCTAAAGCAAATAAAGTTAAATGTCTACCATCAACATTCTTCAAACAGGCAAGGAGCTACCCACAAATCATATCACAGAACAGGATGACTGGCTTTCTAAGCCATATATCATATGTAGTGAGGAAAAGGTTTTTCTTAGTGACAGCTGCCCAAGTGCGATCATGGCAGTCCTAATACTTTCTTGGGATTTGCAAAAATTACAGACAATTTCCTACCCCAACAAGCACTATTCCAGTGTGAGCACAATTTCATTCAATAATTCACCTCATCTGGGCACATATAAAGGAACTGATCACAGAACTAGAAATTAGTGGCAGCTTATGATTACATTTGTTACATGCGGACAAACAAAGTGCCAGTTTTACACAAATACACACAGAGGCACTTGATTCTTTGAAAGGACAGCTTGCACTATGTTGGGAACTGTTATAAAACCAAGTCAGTGGGGACACTGAATAACATAAAAGAGATCAAAAGCTATGGCCAGGAGAAATACAGTGGATGACTCTAAAGTGAGTTAAAAAGGGAACTGTTACAATGAAATTTGTTCCTGATTAGGTAGAAATGCTAGAACTGTGAAACAGACTCCTTACAAAGAGATTCCTCTTCTCTGTCTGGTGAAAGGCCAAAGACCATACTCATGCTGCTTAATGAAGAAATACTGTTCAGCCTAGCATCCACCACAGACAATTATGAAACTACATCCTCTGACCCCAGCCCTGACCTATTATTGACATATCCTAGCAGCTACAAATATTTTCTTCCTATTCTGACACTACTTTGGCAACAAATGTCAGTAGATGATAAAGACACTAAACACTGCACATACATGCAACCCCGGTCAGTTCAGTGTGCTGTTTACTTTTCTAATCTGAAGCATTTTTATACTTTTGTCACTAACACTGCCACCCCCATAAGATCAATATTGACCTTACTCTGGTGTAGGCCTTCTGAGCCTTGTAGTTTTCTGGGAATATTTCTTTCTGTGTTTAAAAACCAACTTCACTAGAAACAGTAATAATTAACTATTGGCAACAGGTTGCTGAGAACTGTAATTTCTTCACCACTTGAATTTGTTTTACCACAATTGGATGTTTTTTAAAAAATAACACTTCAATAAGCATTGGAAAGGATTCTAAACCAGCCAGAACAGTGAAGTGATTTGTCTATCCCTATGTCTGCACCACAGCTTTCTCCCTAGCATATTGAGAATTTCAATCTCTGGCTGACCATCAGGCAACAACATCAAATTCACTTTGAAAAAAAGTAACTATAGCAAAGCTGTGTTTTTTTATTTTGCAGTATGACAAAACTGGGGATGGCAGAGAGGATTTTGTTATTAAATTGAGCAGCTTCAGTTGCTTCTGGACCGTTGCTACAAATCATTATTTTAGAGGGATTAGTGATTTTCACAATGGAGGGTCCACAGATTTTCAAGACAATTACGCCTCAGCAGAAAAAACAGAATTGTTTTCAGATAGGTTTATCTTCACACAAGCCATTTCCAGTCTTTTATTTTAAAGGTTTAAACATAGCAAAAGAATTCCTTGATGAGCATGGAATTTTTTTAATAGATAGTAAGGCAGGCAAATTCTATAATACCCTTTTTAGAAGGGCTATTATGTAAAAAGCATATCCTTTTAGCATTTTAGAATCAATTTGTACAGTAATAATGACGGGTTTAGTGAATTCTGTAGTATTTTTGTAATAGTCAGACCTTTGAACACGCAGCAGATTGCACCTGAAATTCCATAAGATAAATGTTGAATTTAGAAAAAACAGCCACTGTGTCCCAGTTGGCTTTGTCACAGTGTATACTGGAGAAAAGCTAGGTGCACAGAAAGCTGCCAGTAGGAGACAGAGACAAGGGAAGGATTAATGTCTGTAGGAATACTTTCTTCTATGAAAGTCTTGTGGGCCTGTAGAGGAAGAAAACCAGATAGAAATGTAAACAAGCCCCAGGGAAGTGAAGCTATGTGGATGTATTTACTTTCCTCTGGCAATGAGCGAAACAGGAGAATTACTGGCAATGGTGTTTTCTTCTTGTTACTGTTTTGTTTCTTTCTTATTGTTAACAATGAGTTAAATGCATAGTAAGTTTGAATCTTTAAGCTATTATACTAAGAAGAACAATGTGGAGTATAAATTACATGGGTTGTATGCTTGCAGGTGTTCAACATTAATCATCTCTATTAAATTCATGCAAGACTGCTTGTTAGTCCCTATACAGCCCCAACCCAGAGGCAGGCTAAAATCTGCCTACCTAAAGAGAAGTTAGAGACTAAGTAGAAGTGTTGACTGAAATATAGATTATTATTTAGCTTGAAGTACATAGGGATAAGAAATAGAAATAATTTAGGCATACATGGAAATCAAGACAAAGTGAAGGAATTAGGAGAATCAAATAAGAGATTTGGTCAAGATGACCTTTGTGACAAGCCAACCTGAAAGAAGAAAAAAGAAGAAGTGGGACTTTAGAACAGGAATAAATCACGACATTCTAAATGCCCTGAACACCTGGGAATTTCTGATTGTTCAAAACAGACACACATATTGTGTAATCCAAATGAAGTAATGTAAAATACAAGGTATATAAGCGCGGAGTAAAATAGTTTGATTTACCACACTCTGCGGAGGTGGTCCACCGATATATCGTTGCCTAAAAATAAAGCAAACCTAGAGATACCCATTGTCTGCTGAAAATTTCTGTAACACCCAGAGCCAGCAGAGAGGACCAGGTGAGTCCAGAGTTTTGGGAACGGTTGAATCCAGACGGATTTACTAAGTCTCTCTTGTGTTTAAACTTGCTGTTTATATATATACATATTATTTTTTCCGTAAGATAGTGTGATGGGATCAACACCCAGCATAGAAAGGGGGATGCCCCTTGCTGAGGTTCTACAAAATTGGAAAAAGATACCCCTGGCACAGACTTTACAGAAAAAAAGGTTAATATTATTATGCCAGGAGGAATGGCCATTCCTAACTCGAACTAGAGGTGGAGGACCAATGGATATTTGGCCTCCTCTTGGTACCTTTGAGTCACATAAACAAAAATTTTTACAGATTGTTTTAGAAGATTCCAGAAGCCAAGATATAGATTATTGGTATATTTGGTACAATTGGGCACAACAGCAGAAGAAACCGCAAAATCAAAAATTTGGGGAACATTTACTTCCTTCCACCCCTGAGGCTGAGGAACCTAAATCTTCTCCTAAATGGGTTGGTGTGTATCCTATGCGATTGGATTACATTCCAAACCCTAGAGCAGGACCTGGAGCTCTGCCAGAAGTTCCTGCTGTGGTCAGACATGAGCCGTGGAAAGAAGGAGATTTAGTAACTTGGCAAGCTAAAATGCCAAGATTACGAGATGATGCAGAAAAATGTGCTCAAATGCTCTCTGGCATCATAACTGATTATTTCCCTAATTGGAGTGCTATGAGGACCTTACTTCGAGAACTATTTCAACCAGAGGAAAGAGGAAAAATTTTTCAAAAAGATAGGGAAATTGCTCAAAGAGGACAGGGGTTAGACCCCTGGCCTGAACAAAACCCTGAGTGGGATGTGACAACTACAGAAGAAAGAAGGACTTACCAGGCTGCTGGCCAACAATTAGTGGAAGCAGTCAAGCAAGCAGGAGGCAGAGTGACTAATTGCACCAAAGTAAGGGAATGTCGGCAAAGGCTTGATGAACATCCAAGTGATTACTGGGGACGATTAAAAGCTACTCTATTAAAATATGGGGGCATGACTCGGGACAGTTTTCAAGCACCTTTAGCAATTAGTGTATTTGTAGATCAATCAGCCCCGGATATTAGTAAATATTTTAAGAAACATATGCCTGGTTGGCAAGGAGAAACTTCAACAAAAATTTTAAGTATTGCTACCTTTGTATATGATGGGAGGAGTGAAGAGAAACAAAAACAAGAAGAAGAAAAATTGAAGGCTGAACGGAAAAAGGAAAGAAAGGAGAAAGAAAGGGAAATCACTTTATTGGCAGAGGCAGTTACTCAAGGATATAATCAGAGAGGAAGAGGTCGGGGTTTTCCCCAAAGATGCCCTAGAGGAAGGGGGTTCCGAGGTAGAGGAGGAGGTCCCTCCCCTAGTTTCCCTTATTCTAACCCTCTTGAGTGTTTTTATTGTGGAAATTTAGGATATTTACAGCGGGCATGTCCTCTTAGACCACTTGCTGCGCCAAGAGAAGGAGAACCGACCGACAGACCCTCTCGACCCCATTCGCAATAAGGATCCGCTATCGTCTGAAATAGATTTATGGAACTGACTGGAATCAAGGTAGATCATAACGGTCATATAACAGCTAAGGTAAATGGTTTCTTAGTAGATTTTTTAGTAGATACGGGGGCTATATTATCTTTGTTAAATTTTCAAGTGTCTCAAACATCCTCAGAAACTGTAATAATTGATGGTGTGCTAGGGAAAAAAGAATTGTTTTTATCTTTACCTCTCCCGGTGGTGCTTGGAGGAAAATTAGTGTGGGGGCGGTTTGTTATTTCTCCAGAAACTCCTGTATCCTTATTGGCGTGAGATTTATTACAAGAACTTGGAACATGTATATCTCTGACACCAAACGGAGTTCAATTAATAATGATGGGGGCATCTATTGTGCAAATAGAAGAAAGAAAAATTAAGGAACAAGAAATACCTGTGGAATTGGCAAATGTCCCTAAAACATTATGGAGTACTTCTGGAGATGAGGTGGGATTGCTGAAATCTATGGGTTTGCGAAATCCGCCTGAACCAGTCATAATTAAAACAAAAGGAGGGACCCCACCCTCCATTCGGCAGTATCCTATTGTATCAGAAGCAATACCTAGTATTGGGAAACAGGTTGAGAAATTTTTGAAAACTGGAATTCTGAAAGAATGCCAGAGTCCTTATAACACACCGATTTTACCAGTCAGTAAAAATAGACTTGATAAAGATGGGGACCCTGAATATCGATTTGTACAAGATTTGAGAGCAATTAATGAACATGTATTGCCCCACATCCCGTAGTGCCAGATCCAAATTTAATTCTGACACAAATCCCACCTTGGGGACATTATTACACAGTTTTAGATTTGACCAGAGCCTTCTTTAGTATACCTATTGCTGAGGAGAGTCAATTAATCTTTGCCTGTACATGGCAAGGTAAACAATTAACCTGGACTCGACTCCCACAAGGGTTTACTAGTTCTCCGACCATTTATTCACAAATTCTAAAAAATTATTTAAGGGATCTTGTCTTTCCTTGTTCATCAGTTTTAATTCAATATGTGGGTGACTTATTGATTGTAAGTAAAACAAAGGATGATTGTATTTGTGATACTAAATATTTATGTGAACAATTACGTAAGAAAGGTCATAGGGTCTCCCTGTCCAAATTACAATTCTGTCAAACCAAGGTAAAATATCTGTGATTTCTTTTAAGTCCCGGGAAGAGAGAAGTTGATCCTGATCGAGTAAAAATTATATGAGAATTATCAAGACCTACTGCGAAAAAACAGTTAAGGGGATTTTTAGGGCAGGTAGGGTTCTGTAGACCATGGATTCCTGGGTTTAGTGAAATTGCTAAACCCTTGCATGAAGCCACCTGAAATGAAGAAGTTGAGCCCCTTACATGGGGACCTGAGAGAGAGAAA